GAAAAGCTGAAGCTTGGCATGCATTATTGCATGGAGATCCAGCTAACCCCTACTTCAAAATTTTCGTGAGGAACACATAATCCAAATGTCCGAACTCCAGCTGTAACATGGTAGAGTGCATCCGAGTACTACACAGGCGCCCCAGAGCAGGGACTGTGTGTGGACGTTCAGTGCTGTGTACTCTGCGGTTTGTGTGTCAACCTCACCTGCTCCCCACTTGCCATCAAGCTGGGAGACCGGCCCTCGAGGAGAATTCCTGTGATCGATGACAGCAGACGGCCACACCGACTGCACCCTTGTCACCGACTGTGGTCTATGTGACTCTGGATCCTCCAAGCATTGTGCGAGGTCAAATGCCAATATTGGATCAGGATTTGCACCAGGCCATTGAGAATGGAGCACCTGTAATGCAGTGGGGAGGGTTCTAGAGTTTAGTGAGGGAGCTGGGGTAAGGGGAGGGAGGGCTTCCTGAAGGTGCTGTGTGAGCAAGGCCTAGAGGACAAGTAGGTGGGCTTCAGACTGAGGAGGAAAAGTGTCCTGGGCAGTGACAGGGAAGGGCAGCTTGCGGGGGACAGTGAGTGAGTCATAGTTGTTCCGGAGAGGTGTGACTGGAGCACTTCTTTGAGGCCAGACTGTGATGGGCCTCGCAGGTGCCCCACAGTGTGGCCTTTAATGCAGGTAGGAGAGCTCTGGTCTGTCCAAACTGCTCTCATAGAATCGTCTGCTGGCATCTTTCCATTCTTGGCACAGGGCTTGTCCACATCCAGTGGCATATTTGATTTTCCCAGAAGCCTTGCAAGGTGGGCATTGCCTTTTTTTTCTTTATGAGATGGAGTCTTGCTCTGTCATCTAGGCTGGAGTACAATGGCGTGATCCTGGCTCACTGCAACCTCCGTCTCCTGGGTTTAAGCAAGTATCCTGCCTCAGCCTCCTGAGTAGCTGGGATTACAGATGTATGCCACCACACCTGGCTAATTTTTGTACTTTTAGTAGAGATGGGGTTTCACCGTGTTGGCCAGGGTGGTCTCGAACTCCTGACCTTGGGTGATCCACCCATCTCGGCCTCCCAAAGTGCTGGGATTATTGGCCTGAGCCACCCTGCCCGGTCCTGCACTGCTCTTTTTACAGGTAAAAAACTGAGGTCAGTGAGGTTCGGTGAGTTACCTACTGTGGGACAGTCACTCCTTTTTGTTTCAAACTCAGCACCTTGGCTCCTGCCCTGGTGGCCCCATGAAAGCGAACTATGGGCTGGGATGTGCCTTGGGCTACTGTGCGCCCATGTGCTGTCACACCTGGAGGACGTATGAAGATGCCCTGCTTCTACCGTTCTTTTAGGGACAGCAGTATTGCTCTAGAGAACACCAAAAGTCTTACACTTCTGTCTCCTATTTTGTTGTTGAGATTTTTCAATTGGAAATATAAGACCTTTCTCCCTACTCCCACATCCCCCATCAAGTCCTTCATAAACTGGTTGCATTTGGATGTAAAACATGCGGCTGGGTGTGGAGTGAAGTGGTGTCTCATTCTGGCTTTGACTTGCATTTCCCTAATGATTGGTGGTGGGAAACATCTTTTCAGGTGTTTATTGGCCATGTGTGTGTCTTTTAAGAAATGTCTATTTGGGTCTGTTGCCCATTTTTTAATCGGATTGGATTTTTTTGTTGTTGAGTTGTAGGAATTATTAATATATTCTGAATTTTCTTTTTTTTTTTTTTTTTTTTGAGATGGATTCTCACATTGTCACCGAGGCTGGAGTGCAGTGGCATGATCTTGGCCCACTGCAACCACTGCCTTCCAAGTTCAAGCGATTCTCCTGCCTCAGCCTCCCAAGTAGCTGGGACTCCAGGTGCCCGCTGCCACACCTGGCTAATGTTTGTATTTTTAGTAGAGATGGGGTTTCACCATGCTGACCCGGCTGGTCTGGAACTCCTGACCTCAAGTGATCCACCTGCCTTGGCCTCCCTAAGTGCTGGGATTACAGGTGTGAGCCACTGCATCTGGCTCCAAATATTACTTCTTTATCAGGTGTATGAATTGCAAATAGTTTCTCTTATTCTGTGACTTTTTCACTCTCTTGGAAGAGTTTTTTGATGCACAAAAGTTTTAATGTGATGAAGTCAATGTAGCTATTTTTTTCTTTTGTTATCTGTGCTTTTGGGGTCATATCCAAGGAATCACTCCAAGGGGTGTTTCCCTTCATCCTTTATTTTTTTTTAAAAGAATGTTAACACCTAAAACGCTGATAAAATGTCCAAAGGTTATTGACATCCTGGAGTGTCCCCATGAACTCCATTAAAAAATTTATTCAAGTGAAATTCACACGCCATAAGATCTTAAAGTGAACCATTTAGTATCATCACATTCACAACGTGGCGCTGGCCTCTCTTTGGGTCAGTACTGTACAGTTTATAATTATGTTCATTTCTGTTTCCTCCTTTGGTCTTCACAGTGTCCCTGAGAGTTAGAGCAGTAAACCCATTTCACAGGAACATGCAGGGAAGGAGAGTCATATGCTCTGAGCCCACGTGCAGTGAGCACTGGCCATGTTTGCAGGTTTCTTATATCCAGTATGAGCTTTGCTTTCCTTGACTCTAATGTGGGGCAGTGCTGCCTACTGGGGCAGATGTCCCTGCTGGCTGGGCTCTCCGTGCCCACCTCTCCTTCTTCTCTAGGTCCCCTTATCTGTCACCTGCCTCTATGCGACTTTTCCACCTACGAGTTTGATTACGAGTTATCTCCAAACCCATCAGCAATTTCTCAAGGATGGGACAAAGCTTTCTCTAGGCAGTTTGGAAGGACCTGTGGCATGAGAGATGGGAACATATTAAAAAGCACAGAGCTGGGAGCCCCTCCCAGGTCATCTGGCCCAATTCTCTGGTCTTAAGGAGGAGGAAAAGGGGGCCTAAAGGAGTGGACTGCAAGCTCTCTTCCTTAAAGTATTCTGCCTCTTGGTGATAAAGGGCCAGCAGAGACCTGCTCTTGCTTGAGCCTTACTGGGTCCTTGTGGCAAGAGCTGCCATGAGTTTACCTCCCTTGAATCTTGACCACTGCCCCTCTGGAGGCCGTGGCTTAGAGCTGCTGAGCTCACGGGTCACACAGCAACACAAAGGGGCTAGACTCAGGTCCCATGCACCCTCAGGGAGTGACTCATGCCTCCAGCCCTGAGAGCCTCTCTCCTGTGTGCTGGGGATTCCCAGGGCATGGACTCAGGCTGTGCACTTTGCAGAGGCTGCTGAAAATGAGGCCACTGAGGTCACAAGAGGTGGCTGACGCCTGTAACCCCAACAGTTTGGGAGGTGGAGGCAGGTGAATCACCTGAGGTCAGGAGTTTGAGACCAGCCTGGCCAACATGGTAAAATCCCATCTCTACTAAAAATACAAAAATTAGCCAGCTGTGGTGGTGTGCACCTGTAATCCCAGCTACTTGGGACACTGAGGCAGAAGAATCTCTTGAACCTGGGAGGTGGAGGTAGCAGTGAGCTGAGATCACACCATTGCACTCCAGCCTGGGCTACAAGACCAAAACTCTGTCTCAAAAACAAACAAATAAACAAACAGAAAAACAAAAAAAACTGAGGCCACCGTAGATAGGGACAGGCAATTGTGAGTGAAATCGGTGTTTCTTTTGAAGTCAGAGACTATAGAACTGTGGCCTTGGCTAGCCAATGAGAGCCACGGATGCCAGGCAGCCTCCAGGCCTGAGAGAGGAGACTCACCATCTTTAGGTTAACATGTGAAAGAGACGCCAGGCAGCCTCCAGGCCAGCGGAGTCTTATGATCTTTAGGTTAATAAGAGAAATAAAACCTGTGAGTCAGACTGCGGGAAGGAGGAGAAATTCCTCCCTCCAGGCGCCTCCTTCTGAGGTTGCCTTGCTTTGTACCTACGGTTCGTTCTCCTCTTCAGCTGATGACAGATGTTTGACATTATCATTAAGCATTTCGAGTTTTTGCTTTAAAAAAAAATAGAATCACAGATGATCAAAAGTGGAAAAGTCCCTTTGGAATCATTTCCCCTGGTATGCACAGACGGCAGGGTGCAGAGAGGGGAAGGTCAATGGGGACTGAACCTCGGCCCCCTCCAGTCTCTGTAGCAATGACCCGGCAGCAAGCCGGCCTCCCGGGCTGGTGGGCTCTCCTCTTTCTCTGGGCTCAGCCTGGGGCTGGAAGAGGCACGCGGCCCATCGGGCATCAGGCCAGGCCTGGAGCTGACCAGGGAAGGGCCCTGCCAGGCCCTGGGCCTCTGACCCTCAGTCCTGAAGCCTCCCTCTAGCAGCTGTCCCTCAAATCCGTGCTGGACACGGCAGGCTCAAGTTTAATCCTGCAGAGTTTTAACCAGGAGTGGATCTTTCCACCCGCTTCCCGCCGGCTCTTCCGGCTGTCCACACCCGTCCAACTCCGCTGTCCCGGCAAGGGAGGGCTTCCTGGAGGCGGCAGCGGGCGGCGCATCCGGTCTTTGTCCCTCCACGCTCTCCAAAGTGGGTCCAGGGGCTGCCAGATCAGGGGATCCTTTGCGCCCTGGAGCCCTGGATGACGTCGCCCGGCACCTGAGGACCCCGCCCGTTCCTCCCTCGGTTCCCTGGGGAGGGGCGGGGCCGAAGGAGGGGGCCGCGTGCTCCGACGCCGCGCGCGCACCTGGGCCGGCCAGCTGGTTCGGAAATGATGACCGAGCGCGCGTCTCCCGCAGTGCCCGCCCCAGGACTGGCCCCGCCCCTAAGTTCCCGTCCCCAGGGCCGGGCCCGCCACTCCAGGCCCCGCCCAGGACCTCCCAGCCCAGTCAAGCTCCGCCCCCAAGCTCTCTCTGCCGGAGGGATCCGCTGGGGCTCACCAGGCCCCGCCTCGGCTCGGGCCCCGCCCCCTGCCCTCCCCGCCCCGCGGATGGAGCTCGCGGCGCACAGGCCAGGAGGCGGCGCGGCAGGTTCCCGGGGTCTGCGACCGGTTCCCGGGGTCTGCGGCCGGCGGCGGCGCGTGAGCGCTGTACCCGCAGCGGGCGGCGGTCAGTCATGGCGGAGGCCGCGTCGCCACACCTGTCGCTGCCCTCGGGGCTGCTGGAGTTGTGCGCGCTGCTGGGCGCCCCCGGGACAGCCTCCGCGGCCTCGAGCAGGTAAGGGGCGGGCGGGGAAACTGAGGTGGACGCTGGCCGCCAGGCGGCAGCCGGGGCTGCAGTCGGAGAGCGGGCGCCCGGGTGCTCCGCGGGGCTGGCGCGGACTTCCTGAGGGCCGAGTCCCGGTCCCCCAGCGGTGACCCCGCTTGCCTGTGGCGGGGACCGCGCGGGAGCTCAGGCAGGTGCCGCGGAGCAGCGACCTCCACCCCTCCCCGCCCTGGGCCCTCGGCTGCGAACACGGGCTGCCCAGCTGGGAATCTGGGGGTGCCGCGTTTCGGAGCGTCTCTGGGGCCTTTCTCCTCGGTCGCCCCCATCTGGGGCAGGTGCTGAAGGTGGGGTGCGCCAGACAACGGGCGGAAGCCGCCGGAGCCTCACGGTCTGGTGGGCCCAGCCCTCGCGGCTGAGATGATCTGCCTTCATGCCGGGACGCGTGGTCCCCCGGGTAGGAGGGCCGCACCAGGCACGGAGCGATGAGGGTGTCTCCGACGCTAAGTCGCACACGGGCCTGGCGTGTCCGTCTGCACCGCTTTGCGACGAAGCCTGTAGCTGTTTTTCTCACTTGCATTCCCCCTCCACCCTTCCTCCATCTCTGCACCCTGGCAGCCAAGGTGACAACTTCATCTCCCTTCTGGGAAACCGGCAGTTTTGGAAATTCTTGTTTTCCTTTTTCTTCCCCGGCTTTTCTGAATTCCGGAACGCTGGCTTTCCCTGGGATCCGCCTGTGGCTCTGGTTTCCTGCTGGCCCGCCTGCCCGCCTGCCCGCCTGCCTGTGACACCGTGACTGGGTCATGTTACCTGGAGATCCTGGCATCACTGGCCAGCCGTCTCTGCTCAGTGACAGACGGCTGTTCTCTTTGCCTACAACAGCACTGAAAGGCAGAGAGAGGCTTCTGAGTATTTAAGTAACGCTGGGCTGTCCAGGGAAAAATCCAGGGAAAATGAAGGCTGCAGGGCAGAGGGTGTCACCAAGAACCGGAAATGTTCCTGCAGGTAACCTGGCCTGTGAGTGTTCCGGTAGTGTCCCCTGCGAGGCGTCAGTTCAAAGCCGATTTCGATTCCAGTGAAAACGCATTCTCCTGTGGAAGTGGTTTCTGTGTTTTTCTCGACCTTTCCTTCCCCTCAACGCCCTGTGTTGTCAGTAGATCCTGTTTGCCCTCTGTCTCCTCGAAACCTCATCGATTGATTTGCGAAATGGCATTGCTTCCTTTTCCTTGGAATAAGAAATGATCTAGTCGCAGCTGTGATCTCCTCAGCAGTGGACATCTTTCCTCCTGGGCAAGTAATACGTGTGTATTACGAATACATGTTTATTACTAATACGTGTGTATTACTAATACACGTGTATTAGTTGTTTGGTGTGAGGCATGTCTTCTGAGAGCAGGGTGAATGAACTGTTATATTCGCAGTGGTGCTTTCTTTTTAAAAATTTCTTTATTAATATTTTAATAATAGAGAGGAGGTCTCACTGTGTTGCCCAGGCTCACAATTCCTGAGCTCAAGTGATCCTCCTGCCTCAGCCTCCCAAAGTGCTGGGATTGCCAGTGTGAGCCACCGCGCCCGGCCAATGCTAAATTCCTGAACTACACAGGCTGCAGCATTTTCATGTTCCCAGGTCACCTGAGAGGACGGGCAGTTTCTACTTTGCATGTTTAACTCTGTCCTCTTTACTCTGTCTTTTGGTTCAGTTAGGGGTTTTGGCAAAGGGTGGAGAGAAAAATGGCAAAGGACTAAGAAAATAAGGAGCGTTAGGGGATGGAGTGAATTTCTTGGAGCCATCCTACTTTTAAGGTCAACATTAATGTTATAGTTAACCAAACATATGATTTTTCTTATTTAGGGTTTTTAGCAGTTCTATTTTGAATATCCAAGGCTTTTAAATAATTTTTACCTTTACTTTTACAAATGCCCATTTCTCTGTGGCCCAGGCATTCCTTCTTGATGACACAAGAAAACAGAGGTCCAGAGGTATGAGGAATATCCAGCTTTGTGTTGCATCGCGGAGTGCCCTTTCGTTTCTTTTCCTAGAAGGGGGAGTAGTGTTTCTTCTGCTGGGGATGGTGATGGAGAATCTAAGAATGCAGGCTAATGTCAGTTACTGTGGTTAGCTACATTCCCCTCTACCCCTTTACTATAGAGCCCCTTGCTGCCCTGTTTTGGTTGCTATGGAGACTAGACACAGGTGTAACGGGATCCATCGTGAATCCATCATACAGGGGCGGAAAGTGTTGCGAGTACCTTCCAGAGTGCAGGTCACCCGCATCGTTCTTGCATGTGTAGGTACATTCTTACATTTTTCAGTGGACATTGTCCTGACTTTCAGGTTCAGAACAGCCCTGGCCAGCAGACCTTCCTGGGGGAGGGCAGCCTGTCTCCTCTATTTGCATCGTCCAGTACAAGAGCCACTGGCTGCATGTGGTCACTGAGAGTGTGTAGTGTGGCCAGTGAGCTGAGAAACTGGATTTTAAATTTCCTTCAATTCTAACTAAACAGTTGGAGAGCATTAAAACATCTATTAATTTCTGTTTTATTCCCTAATAATAGCCAATCCTATGGTGAAGATTAATGCCACTGTGTACTCTAACTTAGCAATTAATTTGTGACTCAAGTAAATTAGAGTGTCCTGGTTTTTACTTTTTAATTAGCATTTTAAAAACCAAAATCAAAATGATGGCTGTTGGGTAGGGGTTTAATAAGTCCGCACCCGGGACAGAAGAACAGGAAATGACCTCACCTCCTGCTGCAGACTGGCAAGGTGGTGAGTGTCTCAGTGGTGGCAGGGGTGATGGTTCAGCGCAGCCACAGCTTTTATCAACAAGTAACCTCTGGACGCTCTTGTGCCAGGACTTCCATTTTCAGGAATTTATTCTGGGGGAAGAACTGCGTGTGTGCAAGTATGCATCACTGCTTTGTGCAGTGTGGGAGGAATTGAGAGCCACCCACACATCTCTCAGGAGGAGGCTGGGTCAGTACGTGACTGAGTGGACACATGCTGTGGCACTGTAATACTGCACAATTCGAACGGGGGGTCAGCCACGTGGAGTAGCTAAACAGCTCATGAAACCTGTTATGTAGGATGATTACATTTATGAAACAAAATTACACATTTATACACGCATTAAAATGTATAAAGTGCATAAAACTAGAAAACTGGAGGACGTATCCACACTGCAAAGTGTGTCATGGAATTATGGGAGGGTCTTCCTTTTCTATCTTCTTTATTATTTTTATATTGTTATTTTTAATTAATTAATTAATTACTTTATTTTTTGAGATGGAGGTTTGTTATTGTTGCCCAGGCTGGAGTGCAGTGGTGCGACCTTGGCTCACTGCATCCTCCGCCTCCTGGGTTTGAGCAATTCTCCTGCCTTAGCCTCCTGAGTAGCTGGGATTACAGGCATGTACCACCACACCCAGCTAATTTTGTACTTTTAGTAGAGACAGGTTTTCTCCATGTTGGTCAGGCTAGTCTCGAACTCCTGACCTCAGGTGATCATTCTGCCTTGGCCTCCCAGAGTGCTGGGATTACAGGTTTAAGCCACTGCGCCTGGCCTCTATATTGTTATTTTTAAAAATGAGATTGTGTTTCTTGTCCATTCAGAAAGGGCAACAGAGATTTCATCCTGAGAAAAAACAGGTGTATGGTGAACTGCTGAATGCCAACTTGGTCTGCTCTGGGGCACATCATTGTAAGTGACTGGCGATAACTTGAGGAATGGCTCTAGTGTGATCACCAGTGTTCAGTCCAGGCTGAGCATGCCTCTAAGAGATCACCAGATGCTGAGAGTATGAGTGAGGAACAGCATTGCCTCGGTCATCTTCTCTGCTAAATGTGGGGACAGAGAGGCATACAGCACAATCTCTGCTCCACCACACCCCCTCAAATGGAAGGGGGCAGAATACCACTGCGCAGGGCCGAGACGCTCCAGGAGGTGAAGGTGGAGGCCTAGAGGAGCCTGTGGTCCTGGCTGCAGGGTGACAGAGACCCTCTCCAGTGAGTGTGGGGGGGTGGAGGGTGTGCCCCCGCACAGGTGGAGCAGTGAGGGGCTGGGGCCTGAGCCCAGGGAAAAGCAGTGGAAAGCAGGGTCATGGTAGACGTGCTGCGTGTCCTGAGAGCCCCAAGGGGGTTAGTTGTGCTTGGTTTGGGGGCATCCTGGCTTAGGGAGTGGGCTGGGCTGCTGCTCAGGGCTGCACTGTCCTGTGACTTTTGGCTATGTGTGACATGGGAAAATACAGTATCAGGTCGTGGTGAAACAAACATGCTTTCTTCAATGTGGGGACGGGGCTGTGATGCTTCAGGGCTGGGTTGGGGCCACAGAGTGTCTGATCTGCTGTCAGATAGTGATGCTCCTCTTTGGGAGAGTGGGCACAGATGCTGGTAGGAGCCCTGGGCTGGGTGGGAGGAGGCGTCTTTCTTCTTCTCCAGGCAGAAACCTCCAAGGCTTTGCTCCTGGTTACTTGCTGCCTGCACCACAGGTGGTGCAGGTGCTCGGCGTGCAAACATGGTGCAGCTGGCAGCAGCGAGCTGATGGAGAGGTGCCCCGAGGCCAGTGGCTGAGGTGTGGGTCTGCAGGTGGGGCATGATCGGGGCGGTGCCTGAAGGGGTGGAGTCCCAGCTCTGAAGACCTGAACTGCGCTGCGTTTGTTGCAGAGAATGTGGGTGGGAGATCAGGCTTTTTGGAAACTACCAGGAGCTTAATTTTTGAGACTATAAGTTTAGGGGACCCCGGAGGTGTATCGGGGGTGGCAGGAGGCAGTCGGGGGAGCCTGGGACTGGAAAGAGGTCTAGGTTGGGAGGAGGGCTCTGGGTGGTCCTTTTGGGTCTGCGCTGTGAGTGCTGAGGTCCTCCAGGAGGGTGGCGAAGGACCCAGGCCTGGGAGTCGCAACCTGGGAGCAGGACTGAGGAGAAGGGTCTGTGGGGGCCAGAGAGGAGCCGTCAGAGTGAGGGAAGCCAGCAGGGTGGCAGGATCAAGGCAGTTCCAGGAGGAGGGCTGCTTGCTCAGCTCATAGGCTGCCTTGAATGTGCACAGTTAGGTCAGAACTGGCTGATTCTGATAGGAAGGTTTTAGAGAAAGTGACATATAGTTGAGGAAACGGGCTTCTTTCATGCATGCTACACTAGAGCTTTCTACACTGTAAATCATATGGATTTCCCATGTTTTGTCCTGGTTCCTACTGATACTACATTTTTCCCCATATGTAGAGCCATTGTTGACTGATTTGAGTGATTTAGCACGCGGGTCACTGTCTAGAGATCAGAGTGTGCTTACTGATGGACGTCGCGGCTGTGTTGACATTTCTTCACTGTAGAAGCTCTCCTTTTTGCCACTGCTGCCTCTTACTGGAATGTGGAGTGTTGGCTGTGCCTTTTCTATCAGCCAAGGTCCCATTTTTCTGGGCGGTGGCGCTATTCTTCCTTTCTTTTTTGAGACTGGATCTTGCTCTTTCACCCAGCCTGGAGTGCAGTGGTGTGATCACAGCTCACTGCAGCTTCAAGCTCCTGGGTTTAGGCAATCCTTCTGCTTCAGCCTCCCGTGTAGCTGGGACTACAGGCATGTGCCACCATGCCTGGCTAATTTTTTTATTTTTTGTAGAGACAAGGTCTCATTTTGTTGCCCAGGCTGGCCTTGAACTCCTGGGCTCAAGCAATCCTCCTGGTTTGGCCTCCCAAAGTGCTGGGATCACAGGCGTGAGCCACCGTGCCCGCCAGCGTTGTCCTTCCTAGGGTCCCTTAGAGACCCTGACCACCTCCCTTGGCCACCTCCTGTCTCCGTGTCTCGTGCACCCAAGGCCTCTTGCTTCAGGCTTTGCTGCTTTGGGCTAGTTTGGCACTGGAACCGCTTCCTTCTTGCTCACTGACTACAGCTTGTCCACCTTGGAAAGATCAGAAGTCAGCGGGGAGCAGTATTTGTTTAGTCCTAGCTCTGTACTAGGAGCCGTATTGGGCATAGTAGTAACACAGAAGAGAGATAGAAGGAACAGCCCGTGTGCTTTATATTACTTTAGAGAAGAATGGGAAGAAAAAAGGTAAAAACCAAAATTATGCCAAGTTAAAGTTTAGAAGAATTCAAGCCAAATGCCCCCTTTTATTGATTCCAGGGACTGCTTTATCAGGTGGGGAAGGGCACGCCTGATCTTTCTATAGATCAGTGTGACAGAAAGAGTGTGGCACCGGCCAGGGGCGCGGAGGGCATGGACCTGGTAAGTGTGTGTGTGTGGGGTTTGACAATATACAGAGCGTGCCCCCCAACCCAGGAAGGGGTGAGCAGTATATTCATGGGCTCCTGGCTATCCCCTGGGCTGAGTACTGGACCTGCGTTGTCTGCCTTATTCCTTGCACTCGCCCCTTCAAAGGAAGCTTGGAGGGACAAAGAACCTTGCTGCCAGGAGGCGGAGACACGGCCAGGACATGAACTCAGGTCTGTGGATCACAGTCCCCAGCCTGGACCCCAGTGCTTTAGAGGAAGGAGGCAAGGTCCTGCAGTCCATGTTCACAGCTGAAGAACCAGGCTCTGAGAGGCCTCGTGACTTCCCTGAACGCAGGGCCTGGGAGGTTCCTAAAAGAAGCTTCCCAGGAGCTCATTACTGTCAGGAAAAGTGACTCACACCAATGACACCTATAATGACGGTGCCCAGGCACTAGTGTTTGTGGGTACCTAGGGGAGGAGAAAAACAAGTGGCGAAGCTCAGACAGAAAGGACACCGGGAGCAAGAGCTGAGGCTATGGCAGTAACTGTTATTTTTCCTTTTTTTAGGTTGCTCAGAAAAAGGGAGTGAGAAATCTTTCTGCTCTGGATCCAGAGGTCCTGTCCATTTTGTGCCTCCTTTTATCAGTAAAGAGGACAGTCAAATGAGCAGTGCAAACTGCGGCACTCTCGGTAAAACCAGGAGGCGTTCCTTCAGAAAGAAGCGAGAGAAGCCCCGGCCAGAGCAGTGGAAGGGCCTGTCGGGGCCCCCCAGAGTGTCAGAGCCTGAGGATGTCAACGTCCCGGGTGGTGTGGACCTCCTTGCCCTGCCCCAGCTGTGCTTCCCAGGTATGTCTAGGAGGTGGGCAGAACTGGGTGCCTCCTGCTGCCAGCGGCCCAGAGTAGTCTCTTCCCAGAAACCCTCAGGCAAGGGAAGTGGTGTGAGCAGCAAAGCCAGGGACCCCTCACCGCCTCCTCTTGAGTGGGATTTTGTTTCTTAATCTTGGGGATTTTTGTTTTTTTTTTGAGACAATCTCACACTGTCACCCAGGCTGGAGTGCAGTGGCACAATCTTTGCTCACTTTAACCTCTGCCTCCTGGGTTCAGGTGATTCTCCTGCCTCAGTCTCCCGAATAGCTGGGACTATAGGCAACCACCACCATGCCTGGCTAATTTCTGTGTGTTTAGTAGAAATGGGGTTTCACCATGTTAGCCAGGCTGATCTCGAACTCTTGGCCTCAAGTGACCCACCTGCCTTGGCCTCCCAAAGTCCTAGGATTACAGATGTGAGCCACCGTGCCCCACCTATCTTGGGGATTTTAAAGCTGAAGGGAAATGTAAATCATTTAGTGCAGTTCCTGAGTTTTGGAGAATTGAGTCCTGGGTGGGAGGCTATGTGGACTGCCAGGTCAAACTATTTATCATGGTGCATTCAAGGCCTTTCCCCTTGGACTTAAAATGAAGTCTTGCAGCAGTTGGCAGATGGGTTAAAAATACACCGAGTCCATCTGGGTTCTACCCCAGCATGCCTGAGCCTCCCCTCCACATCCTGTTTGCCATTTCACTGGGGCAAGAAGCAGGCCTGCGTTTGGTCCCCAGGCTCACTGGTTGCAGTTAACAGGCAAGCTTGCCTTTCGGGGCTTTATTTTTCTGGGGTCTTCAGGAGTGTTAAAATGGCCGAGATAGAAAACTCAGACGAAGCACCTAGCATAAGCACCCTCCTCATGGTTCCTACGTAGAACTTGGTGCTATTTCCTGGTCACAGGGATTATAAACCCAGGACAGGCTCGGGATGGACAGCAGTGCCAGCAAACACTGCCACCGGCTAGCAGGTGCTCAAGGACTTGTAAAAAAATCGCTGTGTGGGAGGGACTGTGGGGAAAGCTGGCGGGAGGTGTGGTCAGAAGCATGAACACACCCTGGACATCAAGGTACCGCTGCTAACTGGAGGTGGGTGTTCTGACGCTGTGAAGAAATCCGTACATGGATAACCCAGGCCACATGGCAAGAACAGGATTCTTCTCTCTCTTTCTGCCTGCAGGGGGTGTGTGTGTGGCCACTGAGCCCAAGGAGGACCACGTCCACTTCCTAGTGCTGACCGACGTCTGCGGGAATAGGACCTATGGCGTGGTGGCCCAGTACTACCGGCCCCTGCACGTAGGTGTTCCTGTTCCTCCCCTCTGCAATTGGGTTTAGATTTTTATTGTGGTGGAATAAACATAACACAACATTCAGCATTTTAACCATTTTAAAGTGTGCCTTTCAGTAACATGAAGTACATTCACAGTGTTGTGCAACCACCACCGATGTCTAGCTCCAAAATGACTTCCTCACCCCAAAACCCCTAAAACCCCACAGTAAACCCTCAGTCCTGCTTCCCCTCCCTGCCTGGCGATGGCTAAGCTAATCTGCTTTTTTTTTTTTTTTTTCTTGAGATGGAGTCTCGCTCTCTCGCCCAGGCTGGAGTGCAGTGGTGCAACCTCCGCCTCATAGGTTCAAGTGATTCTCCTTGAACCAGAGTAGCTGGGATTATAGGCACCTCCCACAACGCCCAACTCATTTTTGTATTTTTAGTAGAGACAGGGTTTCGCCATGTTGGCCAGGCTGGTCTCGAACTCCTGACCTCAGGTAATCCACCTGCGTTGGCCTCCCAAAGTGCTGGCATTACAGGCATGAGCCACTACACCCAGCCAGCTAATCTCCTTTCTGTCTCTGGATGTATCCTGGACACTTGATGTAGTGGACGCATGGAACATGCGGCCTGCCGTGTCTGGCTTCTTTGCCTTTGCATGTTTTGATGCTTGTCCACATGGGAGCGTGTGGCAGTGCTCCGTGGCCTTTCATAGTGAATGACATTTCCATCATGTGGATGGACCACACTTTGTCTCTCCATGTATCGGCTGATGGACCTGTGGGTTGTTTCTGCCTTTGTCTTTGGTGTGAGCGACTGGCGTTTAGACTCTGCGGCCAATTACGTTTGTCACACATTGGGAGTGTTGTCTGGGTAGGGCCGTGTGTGAATCAGTGGGCCTTTGGGAGGTTGTAGGGGAAATGAGGTATCCACAGGGGCAGGGTGACGAGCCGCACACTTCCAGAGGGTTTCCCGAGGCAAACAGCAAGCCAGAGCCTTAGTTGAGGTGTTCTGGTGCCATGAAGCGAAGTCTGTGAGTTCTGTGCGGTTGAGAGAAGTGGCTGGCCTGGGTGGCCCTGGCGTTTTCTGTGTTGGTAGAAGCATGCTTACACATGGGACGTTGAGTGTTGGGCGGCATGAGGTATGATCCCAGGGATTCTGTCCCTGTAAGCTCATGGGGCAGCTCAAACAGGCCCGGATGTTCCTAATGAATATGCAGCAGCAAAACTTACTGCGTGACCCTCTGAATGCTACATTTCTGGGAGAGGTCGTTTTCACAGTGTGCTGAGATCAGAGCCGAGGTCAGATCTCAGGCAGTGCCTGTAGGGGACCCGTGTCCGCCTCTGTGACCTGGCTGCTGGTGGTGCCCAGCCTTCCTTCCTGGGTTATGTTAACGGGAGATGAGAGGAAAGCGGAGATCCTGCCCCTCCACCTAGCCAGTGTTCCAGACAAGAAAGGATCTGAAATGTTGGATCTTTCAGAAAAGCACGTTGCGAGTTTGCCTGTGAAATAACACTTACCAGGAGTAACGTGCATGTCCTTCTTGTTATCATTAAATAGAATACATAAAAAGGAACAGCCCCGCTGGTTTGCATTAGTACAGCAGATGTCACTGTCCGCAGTGTGCCGGCCTGTTGTGGGTGTGCCGGCCTCCTCCTGCCCTCCCAGCAGCTGTGTAGTTTCAGGGTATCTCCAGGCCCCACCGTGCTCACCTGCCCTTCTTCACATGTATCCAGATGACCTCCGTATCTATTGTTCTTTCTCTTTTTTTTGAGACGGTCTTGCTCTTTCCCCCAGGCTGGAGTGCAGTGGTGCGATCACAGCTCACTGCAGCCTTGATCTCCAGGGCTAGCTCAAGCGATTCTCCCACCTAAGCCTCCTGAGTAGCTGGAACCACAGGTGTACGCCACCATACCCCACTAATTTTTCTTGTCTTTTGTAGAGATGAGGTCTTGCTCTGTTCCCTATGCTGGTCTTGAACTGCTGGGCTCAAGCAGCCCTGCCTCAGCCTCCGAAAGTGTTGGGATGACAGGCGTGAGCTGCATGCCCGGCCCTCAGCTGCTGTTCTATGGATGACACAGCCCCAGCCTCTCATATACACTCTCCTCTGCCTTTCCACTGGCACCACGTGGCTTGAGGGAGGGAACAGTATTGTCTGGGTAGCTCCAGTCCTCTCGGGCTGTGGTAACAATAGCAGCAGCTGTGCGTGTGAGCAGCTCAGCAGCAGGCGTGACACGAGCACTTCATGTAGTCATTCATTTAATCCTAACCACAACCAACGAGGCTGGGAAATGACAGATGAGCAGATGGTGGCAGAGGGAGGTTAAAAACCCACTGAGATGGCTCAGCAGGCAGGGCTGCAACTCGAGTAGACTGACCTTGGAAAAGTGGATGTTTATTACATTTTGCTAGATAAACAAATGATGTAGCTGACTGTTCCCTGGATGGCTCTCTTTACCTGGATATCTCATAAGTACCCTAAATTCAGAAGGTTCCCAAGCTGAAGCTATCATCATGCCCTTCTATCCCTACAAAAAAACCCAAACTAACAACACGTCCCCAGGGCCCAGTTGATGAGCCCCAAGTATTTTGCCACTTGTAAGTTCTGCAGTGCGCCGGGCTTTCTAGAACCCTCTGGCTGTGGCCCCACACAGGCTGAGGCCCTTCTGCCCTGTCCTCCTGGGTGCGTGCAGGTGCTGCATGCTGTGTGTGGCTCCTGTGTTTTCCCCCTTGTAAAGCAGAATCCTTTGTGTGTCTTGGGTCTCACTGTGTTCTAATCATGCATTCCTTCTTATGCCAAGGCTGTCGGCTTTTCTGGGGCAGGAATGCATCTTGCTCTCTTTGTAGCCTCAGCACCTCAAATGGTGCAAGCACCAGCTAGGGACCCCGTAGACTTCGACCAGAGGGCCGGTGCTTGGACTGGCAGCCAAACCAGTGTGGAGTGAGGCCAGGCGTGTTGTAGTGCGGGGATGGTGGATTCTCAGCTTGTTCTGTGCTGAAACGTGACCCAGTTGGAAACAGATACTGGAATTGCCAAGGTGGGGAGGTGACAATGTCACTATTGCTTTTCATGTAGGATGAGTACTGTTTCTACAATGGCAAAACACACTGGGAGCCGTCCCGGCCAGTCATGGGTGCTGCTGGCTGCTTTGTGCCCTTCGCGGTGTGCGTGGTCTCCAGATTCCCCTATTACAACTCCCTCAAGGACTGCCTCTCCTGGTGAGCCGGGTCACTGGGGGCTGGGGGTGGTGGGGGGCAGCCATCTGTGCCTCTCCTGGTGAGCCAGGGGGACCAGAGGCCAGGGGTGTTGGGGAGCAGCTCTCTGTGCCCCTCCTGGTGAGCTGGGGGACCAGGGGCCAGGGTGGTCTGTGCCTCTCCTGGAGAGCTGGGGGACTAGGGGCCAGTGGTGGTGGGGGACAGCTCTCTGTGCCTCTCCTGGAGAGCTGGGGGACGAGGGGCCAGGGGTGGTGGGGGGCAGCCCTCTGTGCCTCTCCTAGAGAGCTGGGGACCAGAGGCCAGGGGCGGTGGGGGCAGCCCTCTGTGCCTCTCCTGGAGAGCTGGGGGACCAGGGACCAGGGGTGTTGGCAGGGAGCTCTCTGTGCCTCTTAGGCTTCTGCTTAAGGCTCTGGGCAGTGGGCAGGGGCATGTGGCAGCAGGCGCTCCTCTCTGTGACTGGTAACATATGGTAATGGCATGGTAGGAAAGGGATAAAGCCACACTGCTGGAAGTAAGGTTGATGTTCAGGATTTTCAGTTTGTTTAGGTTTTCACAAAGAGGCATATATTAGGAAAAACTCTTTTCCTAGCTGAGAATATTAGGTGGCTGCTGTTTTTTCCAAAGAGTTTTATTGATCTTTTAAAGATGACCGTGGCTGGACGTGGTGGCTCACACCTGTAATCCCAGCATATTGGGAGTTGAGATGGGAGGATTGCTTGAGCCCAGGAGTTTGAGACCAGCCTGAGAGACATGGCAGTACCCTTTCTCTAAAAAACAATTTAAAAACTAGCTAAGCATGGTGGTACATGCCTGTAGTCCCAGCTACTGGGGAGGCTGAGGCAGGAGGATAGCTTGAGCCTAGGAGTTCAAGGCTGCAGTGAGCTGTGACTGCGTCACCGCACTCCAGCCTGGGTGACAGATCAAGACCCTGTCATCTTTTTTTGTAGAATCTGTAACTGTCTCCCTGCTGATTGTGAGTAGAAAGGCTGAGGACGTAAATAACTTTTGAAAAATCAGAAAGACATCGTGTAGAACCCAGTGGGTTCTCGTTATCAGAGAATGCTTTTGTGACACTGGGGGCTGTAGACCGAATTAAAACATGGTCAGTCCCAGTGGGCACTCATGCATGGGGGCTTTTCTTTTGAGTCTCATCAAGTCACAGTCTTGGAATTTGTACTTGTTTGATTAAAGACCGAGGAGAAAGCAGCTAACAACCGTTCCCTCTTGTGTCATCATCCTGGAGAGAAAGCCATGGAAATCGCTCGACTGGTGCTGTTCCGTTTCTTGCAAAGCACGGCCATTTGAGACCTTCAGTCTTGAGCAGAGGGACGAGCCCCGTGGAGGCTGAGCAGGAACCTTACTGTTCAAATCAATGACTCATGATTCAGATCCCAGCACTTTAGTGGCTTCCTTCTTAAAATATAACTGGCTTTTGGACATAGTTTGGGTCTAGCCTACATTTTATTGCCATAGACATAAAATATCTTTAACAGAGAGCTGACTCAGCTGTAGTCAGTGAGCAGGTGAATTGAGCATCTGCACGTTCATTGAATGTCTGCCGCCAGCGCCCAGGAAGTGGCAGAATGGTAAACCTGGACACGGCCCCTTTTATTTACTAACTGGTGATCTTCATTACTTGAAGGTCAACAGCGATTTCACTAATCTCTAGTTTCCTCTTCTGTAAAACGGCAATGGTTATTTTTACTTTTAATTAAGTGAACTCAATGGGTGGTGGCCAGACAGAGAGCTGCGCTTGGAAGACAGGCAGAACGGAGGTGTTTGCTCCGCCTCCTGCTCGAAGTTATGTGTGTTATTCAGCAATTGACCTTTCATAGTGTGACTGGCAACAGATATCCTCCTGGCAGACATTAATGCAAACACATATTTCACCTGAAAAAATGTGTTCACTTTCATGCTTCCTGAGTTTTCTTTCTTTTCAGTGCCCATTGCCATGTGATCAGAAATAGAAGGGGCAAAATGCAGAAATAGAATACAGCTAAAAGAGGCAAATAACAGAAATTCAAATTGCAGTGTGACAACATGAATTTGTACTTTTAAATCGGTTCTGTTAGCGTGATAATATGCAAAATTTGTCTTCACATGGACGAAAATTGGGCAAGAATATATTAGTTGTGTTTCAGGAATCGGAGTATGGGCAGTTGCTTTTTAATTTTTTATTTAAATTTTTTTTGAGAGACAAGATCTCACCGTCACTCAGGCTGCAGTGCAGTGCCGCTATCATAGCTCACTGCATCCTCAAACTCCCAGGCTCATGTGAGCCTCCCAGTTTCGTCTCCCAAGTAGCAGGGAGAACAGGCGCACAGCACCACACTAGGATAATTTTTGTAGAGACGGGATCTCACTGTTTTGCCAGGGCTGGTCTTGAACTCCTGGCCTCAAGTGATTTTCCCGCCTCAGACTTCCAAGGTGTTACTGGTGTGAGCCACTGCACCTATACCTTTTATATTTTAAATTGTATACAGTACTTTAAAAGTCAGAGTGCATTTTTGGAAACAGACTTTCTAAAGCACTTTCCTTCCAGTTGTTTGTTCTTTTATTCCTTACTGAGGTATAACATATGTACAGAAAAATGCACGAATTCCAGTGATTTTTCATTAATTGAGCACACACATGTAACTAGCACCCAGATAAGGAAACAGACCATGACCAGGCCTCACCCTCCAAAAATAAACCTCCCCTTGTGCCGCCTTTCAGGTGCTCCTGCCAACCTGGGGCTACTCTGCTGTGGTCCAACACCTTGAGGACTGCTTTTGATGAAAGGTCCTGGAGTTGCGGGCGCAGAGCCTGGGAGATTCCAGTGTGGTTAGAAACGCTAAGGATGACAGCTGGGTTCTCATTTTTATTTTGTGGTTTGATTTCTGTTTTGTAAATTTCAGTTTATTGACTCATCTGAAGCTCTGTAAAGATTTTGAAGTCGACAATCCTATAAAGGACTTTGCTGCGAAGCTGTCTTTAATACCCAGTCCGCCGCCTGGGCCGCTCCATTTGGTAAAGTAGATCTGCAATTATATTGTTTTTTTTTCTTTGCAAATAGTAAAAGTAAGATGTTGAAGACAATGTAACGTTTAAAACTATTTCTGAAGTTCTAGCTGTAAATCTAAAATAAAATCCTAAGCCCCAACCCCTATAGCTGGCTGACTGGACCCCCTTTTCACCAAGGGGCCCCCAGGGAATCCTGAAAAACAGAATTACTGGCCAGAATGGAAAGGAGGTCAGACACTCCCACTTATACCCTCTCCCTTTTGCATGAGTGTATGGGGTGTTCGTGCATAGGATTGTAAACCAAAACTAAAATCCTAAGCCCCCACTACTGACTGAACAGGTTCCCTCCTGGCCAAGGGGACCCTAGAAAAACTTTAAACATGAAATTCCTGGCCATGACAGGAAGGAAGATCAGACGTGCCTTGTTATGCCCCTCCCTTTTGGAGTTTAGGCACAGCTGACCAGCATTAGGTTAAAATGGAGATCCTCGCTGGGCGTGGTGGCTCACACCTATAATCCCAGCACTTGGGAGGCAAAGGTGGGTGGATCATGAAGTCAGGAGTTTGAGACTAGTCTGGCCAATGTAGTGAAACCCCGTCTCTACTAAAAATACAAAAAATTAGCCGGGTATGGTGGTATGTGCCTGTAATCCCAGCTGCTTGGGATGCTGAGGCAGGAGAATCTCGTGGACCCAGTGAGCCGGGATCGCGCCATTGCACTACTCCAGCCTGGGCAACAGTGCCAAACTCCATCCGTCTCAAAAAAAAGGAGATCCTAAGACCAACAGAACAGACTCTCTGTGGCCCTAAGATTCCCAATTATGAAGAAAACCTAAGGCCACACAAAGTTAGTGGTAAGTCACTCCCTACAAACCATAAGCACTCCTTAAACAGGTATAATGTAGCTACTTTCCACCCTGACTGTGCTATGGCATGCCATGGCAGATAGCAGACGCTGAAGGAAATACAAATATTTTACCACAAATATGTTTCTTGGACATATTTTGAAAGAGCGCTGCAAAGCTGTCTTCTGTGGGGGATATTTGCATCTGTAGAGAATCTACTGATGCAGCCAGGCCTGCCATTCTAGGCCTTTCCCAGAT